AATCTCCTGAATCTCTGTTTTAAAACAGAATCACTGCCTTGAATCCCAATGACATGTGACCTCCCTTTGATGTGGCCACAACATGCGAGTCTTTCTCGTCATTGGTAATGGCATGCTTGTGCAGATCCTATTAGCTCCAGCAGTAAATCAATTTGAGTGTGAATCCAGGGAGAGAGCAGCAGCCGAGTGAAGGGGAGGATAACGGGGTGCATGTTTATGTGGTTGTGGATGCAGATAAGTGGGCAGCATATCAAACTCTGTGTGTGTGAAGAGGCTGAAAGCTCAATGTGTCTGAAAGGTGAATACAGCTCACTCTCTTTGGCAGAGTGAATTACCTCCACAGCATGTGTCGAATGGGCACGTGGGGTGTGGAGCACTTCTGGCTTGTGGACTCGTTGCTCAGAGGTCGCTCTTTCACAGCTCAGGACATGTAATGGAGTTCTCGGTAATGAGGAACTTCAGTATCAGCTTGGGCTTAGATCTGAAACAGGAAAAATTCGAATAAATATTTGATCTAAATGGTCTCCCAGATTGTGCAAAAGTCACCCTGATGAGGCAAGAATGCTGAGATTGGTTGCCGTGGCATTGCTAGCTTGTCGCAAAGGTGTTTTGAATGCTTATAATTCTAAATGCTTTTAATTGCTATAATAATTCTGGGTGGTTGCTAATTAGTCCAAATGTAAAAAAGTTTACTCCCTAGAAATTAATTCAATGCATTTTTACGATTTTACAGATCGCCAGAATTTAAAGTAAGTCCAAATTCTTATGTGAGAACATACAGTAAAATTACAATATTGCTATACAGTTAACAATTCTGACAGACATGGCCTATCATCAAATCTGAGCACAGTTTGAGACATTATAGACATCTCTTCTCAAACTGTAGCAGAGACAGCCTTGAGATTACCAGTCATTTTAGTTGTATATACTAGTATTAGATTATATAAAATAGTATTTATTAATATTTTGAATTAGCTTTTATTTTTATATTTTCACTTTTCATTTTCATTTAGTAACCCTGTATTGTGCCATTCATTTTATTAGTTTTTTTCCCCCTAGATAGCTGTAATTAGTTTTCATTTTATTGATTTTAGTACTTCAACAGACTTGTTTAATTGTGTCTGTGACTATGTCATTATTACCCCTAAATTATTACCACTATGTATATGCCCTGTGTTTGTTTTGTGTATAGTACTTGTATGAATGTTAGTTTATGACTCATATTGTTTGTTTAAATATAATTTTGTTCACTTTTTCTAGTCTAAAGTGAAAATTAGACTTGTCTCTTACTTGTCTCTGGGTTCATGGCTGAAGCATGGTTTCGGAGGTTTAAGAAGAATGCAGTCTTCCTGGTCCCCATTTTATGCCATCCTGGGGGATTATGGGTAGTGTGGGCATTGTCTATCCCATTGTGAGCAGAGGGGGGGGGGGGTGTCATTGTTTTATGTGTTTTTATTTTGCTAGTACATTATTTGTTTGTTTGTTTGTTTTTTTCTGGTAATGGTGATGTTAATTTATATTGACATTGTATTGTCAATGGTTAAGTTTATTTATGTGTTTATGTATGTGTGTATATAATTTCCATTTCCCTATTAGTATGAAATGGTTGAACCCTGGAGATAGAAAGGCTTCATCTTGTCTGTCTGGATTCAGTTTTGGAGAGATACTTCCTTGAGGTCAGCATTAGTGTCCCTGGTTTAAGGGTTTTTTGTTTGTTGCAAAATGCAAGTTTGGAAGTCAATATATGAAGAGTTCAGATGCAAAAGCCTCTAAATGCCATTTGAAAGTTTCTTCTTGAATGATGATTTTTATCAAACTTGTATATTTAAGTTCATTAATTTCACTTAAATAACAATTAATAGGAAATTATCATTGCCATTTAAGTGAAATCACTGAACTTAATAATACAAGCTTGATAAAAAAATGATCATTCTAGAAGAAAATTTCAAATGGCACTTAGAGGCTTTTGCATCTGAACTCTTCATATATATATATTATTATTATTGACTGCAAGCCATGTCTTCTGCCTTTGCTCTGGCCATGTCTCCACAGCAGAGCCGGCTCTCCTTATAAGCGAACTAAGCGGCTGCTTAGGGCCCTGCCGCCACCAGGGGGCCCCCTAACTACAGATGGTATTCGCCGGCATCGATGCTCAAAGTGTGGGGCACGCTCATCTGGTGGGGAGTAGAGACGTGACAGGTGGGCCGCATCAACGGGAGGAATTTTTCCTTTTTTTATGCCTTTTATATATTTATTCGTTCATGGTGAGTCCGTATCGTCAACTTCACATTGCTGCGACGCAGAAAACACCAGTTTATTAGTAAACAATTAAATGTCTCCTTGCTATTTTTTTACACATTCATAATCATTAGACTTTTGCAGACTCGTGCGCTTGAGTGCGGCTTTATAACACTCATTATCCTGTCTAGCCTATTTAAGTTATTAAATCAATATAAAAGGGCGATTTACTACTACTAGCTGACCAGAAAAAAATTAACTTTAGTCGGAGGCAGCCCTTATTCCACATATTTTCGAGCCAGCAGGGTTGAGCGGAGCGCGCGACCCTGAGCGGAATGATCAAGCACAGGAATATTCATGTGCACTCACATGCTCTGATCGGAACAAAGAATAATTTAATTAATCATTGAGTTATCTCATGCACTGCCCATCATTTTTAATCCCATATCAAACACAGTAGCCTACGTTATGTCTACTTTTTTTTTAAATAGACCTGTCTTGCCAAACGGAGGCAAGACATTTTGACACACATTTTTACATTTTGACACAGCTGCACATTTATTTTCTCTATTTTTCGAATTCCATGTAAGTTATGACACAGTTGCACTTGTAGCCTATTTTCTTTTTTTTTTTTTTTTTTACTTGCTGCTATGTTATTTGATGTAGATAGTTAGTTTGTATTTAGATACTACG